GCGGAGTGGGACCAAAAAATCTACCGGGAAATTTCGTAGACCACCGGCCCTCGTCGCCGGCACGATTAGCCAATAGCATTTACAGTTTTACTGATTTAAAGGGAACTTTGTTGTACTAGTATGCTGGAGTAAAGTTCATAGTTCATATGGATGAAGGCCTGTTGTGTTGTGTTCTGTCTTTTGGTTTGTGATACTGGCAGCTATTGTGAAACTCACCTTCATCATGTACTTTTTGCCGCAGTTCTTCTGGTCTTAGTCTGTTTTTTTCTGTTTCTTCATATAATTTCAGATGCACTCGATGATGGTGAGATCCGACCTGAGCATTGGCTGTTGTCAGAATCCTTGTGCATTCAAAAATTCACTGGATTATTACAATTAATGTCTGGAAATGTAAACTGATATTTCCTACTGAGACACTACAACAAAATATATAAATAACTGGCTTAAAACCATTTGTTTGAGGCGAAAATACTAGTGTGCCTAAGACTTCTGCACAGTACTGTAGATATTAGGAAATAAATGCATATGACATTATTATCAGGATTAAACAAAATCCCCCTTTTATTGTGGAGGTTTTTTCCTTGTGAAAGCACATTTTTAATCAATATTTGTAACGTTAAGTGACGTCACTGATTAATAGTACAGCGCGTTATTTTAGGCTAAATAAATTAGCTTACTTCCAATCACCCATTGACAAATGACCAGCAAAACAATACTATCAAAAATTGTTATCTACACAGAAATGTGGTTAAAACCCCAAACTTATATAAAACAAGAGCTTCAGATAGTGTAGCTAACTTTAACTTACCTCTTCTGAAAACTGTTGAGATGCTAACGGACTATTCGAAGACACAAAACCATTTCTATAAGGTAAATATTCAAGAGAGGCTTATCAATTACATGTAAGAAAGGTGTCAGGAACGTTTGTATGTATTATATGTGTGATTATGTTAACTTCACTTACCTGAAAGCAGTTAAAAACAGCGAGAGACAGAAGCTAGTTTTGCTGTTTGTCAGTTGATGACGTTTCCTGTTTCCATCTGCTCGCTCGCGGCCTCGCGGGCGCTCCTGTCTTTGACGCGCACGTGCATCAAAACACTTCAAAGGCACAATAAACATCTAGAATTATAACATTTAACATAATTTAAAATGTCATTAATATTAAATCATGACATTAAAACTCTTGTCTATTTCTATGATATTTGTATCAAACTATTTTACTGAAGCATTTTGGAGAAATAGCACATTATTCGATTTCAGAGGTCCATAAATACCTAATTTCTAATAAGTAGAAAAAACTAATGGACAATTCGTATACGGGACATCCCATACAGTATACACACCTCATATCAAACCATATTACTGAAGCATTTTGGAGAAATGTCAAATTCAACTGCAGTAGCTACCGTTCAACCTGAAGAGGGCAGCACTAAGACGTTTTTTACACCATTATCATTGTAGAAATCAAACACTTTATACCCAAATGTTAAAAAAGTTACTCGAATCAATGATCAGCATTTAAAAAGCTCCATTCTTACAGATCATTAACCGAAAACAGTTGGTTTAGTTACCTTTTAAGTGTCTTCTCTTTAAAATGCTAATTTATTGGGGACAACCTATAGGTGAATTCAGGTAAACTGAGCAATGACAGCGTCGGGTCATTTAGGAGTGCCTAAATCCACTCTGCTTGCTCTTGAATTGTGCTTTTGAAGATTAGACGCAAAACCACACAATCTTTGGTTGTGTGGATATGTTATCTATAAATTATAAGAAGCGTTTCTGATGATTGGGCCATGTAATAAAAAGTCTATTAACCTAATTATTAAAGCGCTCTGAATGGAGATTTATACCATACATTTAGGCTACTGTTTACTCACTTCACAAACTACATATCCCAGAATAAACTGAATCCATTTCCTTCAGGGACTTTTTATAAGATATCTTTACTCGCACCAGCATGTGTGTGTGTGTGTGTGAGTGTGTGGCCTGAGTTCATTACATGTGTAGAAATCGATATACTTTTGGCAATATAATCAGTATTTCTTAGTATTTCAGCCCGCACGATGTTCTTGAGAAGTATGGTGTTTGTGTCATGCATATCAAGTTGATGCTGTGGCTCCCAAACTTCTCAGCTGTGTTCAATCCTCAACACACCCATCTCAGCCGGTTTCCACATACCTGTAACTGCTTGAAAAATGGCTGGTATTCCTTCTCGTTTTCATGTCAAAGGCTCAGAAGCGAAATGTCTTAATGCGTTTTGGTTGTAATGGTTATTTTACATAACAATTACACTTATTACTTTTGATTTAACTGTGTTTTTCCTCTCTGCTGCATGTGTGAGTGTGTGTGAGAGCAGCTTTCACTATAGTGGTGTATCTGGAGGCCACAACAGGTCTGCTCTGATAACTCTCTCCAGCTGCTGGGTAATAGTTTCTTCCCTCCCATTAGAGAGGAAAACCTCCAAACAGCAAACAGCTCATCAAAAAGCCACATCACTTACCCACTGCACTGCTAGAACCGCAGACATCATTCATCAGAGGGATTGGAGTGAAGACTCGGCCTAGAGGACACACACTGACGCTCTAATCAACTCTACACGACCACTAATGACCAGAGTTATTCACCTTTACCATTCACACCCGATGGATGGATGGATGGAAGAAAGTCAATTGTGGTGTTTTGACACCCAGATGGATTTTTTTTTTTTTTTTTGCAATGTACAACATAGAAAAACATAGAAAAGGTTCACAGTGTATAAAGGCAGTGATCAAGTGTTGTAAATTCATTTTCTTTTTTATTGCATAGAGAACCTTCTGGATTGAGAGAATGCATCATCCATGCAACATCAGCGAAAGAAAGCGTATCAGCGAGTGTCCATTAAAGTTCATCTGAGCTCATAGTAAAGATCATAGTTAACAAAATATTTAATAAACCGTATATTTTCATTTCAACGCACTCACTGCCGGACCGAAGGAAAAACAGCTGTCGTACACAAGTTACTTCTTTCATCGTGTTAAATTCGCTGTGGACTTATAGCAGGGGAAAAATACCCGATTCCATCAACAACAAAAAATCATCCTTTGTGTATAAATATATAATGCGAGCTACAAATATACATACTTATAAATGTACATCCCTTTAGGTTCAATAACACTATTTCATACTGCCATGCTCCAGAGAAGAATAATGAACCAATTAAACACTCTGTCATTATTTACCCATCCTCATGTTGTTTAAAAACTTGCTTTCTTCCGTGGATTGGCAGAATGTGTGAGCCACTCTTTTATGCAGTCTTGATGCTCCACGTTTAAATTCATATGCATGAAATTTGAGAGCTTTGAGCAAATACTTTTCAGTCAGTAAATGTAAATCTATTGTGTGGATCCAGAAGACTTGGAATATAGTGTACAAGTCAAATAGACTCCTTTTATGACACTTTTACAACAGCACCTCATTGCAGTACACGAGATCAGTCGGATCCAGATCTGAGGGGTGGAGTTGTAGGTTTAGGGGTGGGTTTATGGGGCAAAATCCGTTTCCATCGCAGTTTTGCGAAAAAATCCTTTTTCGAATTGCCTGAAAACTTTTTTGCGATAAACGGGAGTTTTTGCGAAATTGACGTGTTTCCATTGAGCGTATTTCGCAATTTCAATCTGCGCAAATTGAAATGTAATGGAAACGCAGCTTGTATGTCTGTGTATGTATATTAGTATGTCTGTCTGTCTGTCTCAGTGTGTCTGTGTATGTATATTAGTAAGTCTGTCTGTCTGTCTCAGTGTGTCTGTGTACAGTATGTATATCAGTTTGCATCAGTAAATGTCTGTCTCTCAATATGTCTGTCGGTCTCAGTGTGTCTGTGTATGTATATCAGTATGTCTGTCTGTCTGTCTCAGTGTGTCTGTGTATGTATATCAGTATGTCTGTCTGTCTGTATCAGTATGTCTGTGTATGTATGTTAGTTTGTCTGTCTGTCTGCATCTAGTCTGTGTGAAAATGCCAGTAGCCGCTTTTTACAACCAACAGAACATATAAAACTAAATCAAAAAGTTAAACAAACATCTTTAAGATGTTTTCTTTACATGTGAAATAAAGAAAACAGTTACAAACTGAAACAGGAAGTATTCTGGACCAGTATTGTTTACATCTTGCAAAATGGTCTTATTAGTATGCCTGTCTGTCTGTATCAGTATACAACTAAACTATACAGTATAGTTTACTGTCTGTAAACTATACAAATAAAATTGTACTGAATTAAGTGTGTTACACACAAGTGTTACAACTAACAAACTTTAAGTGGTCATTTGTAGCAGAGATGTGTATGTTGCTTGTGTAAAAAAAAAAAAATTAATCTAACCTAATTTTTTTTTAATTAACTGAGCCAAAACCAAAATGCGTTAGGTTGTGCCCCGCTCTCCCCTATTTGAAAAGGAACTATTTGCAGTTTTAAAGAGTTAGTTCACCCCAAAATTAAAAGTATTACTCATCCTCATTTCGTTCCAAACCCATAAAACTTTCGTTTATCTTCAGAACACACGATGAAACACTTTTTTATGATTTCTGTTCCTCCATTGACCGTCTATACGCAAATACCACTTTCAAGACCTAGAAAGACAGTAAAGACGTCATCCTGCAGCTGTCTTTCACGACACTTCCCAGGATCCTCTTGTTTCCACACCTGATCTCAGTCCCTCAATCATCCACCTGTTCATCGTCTTATCTGTGTCACCTGTCTTCACCTCGTTAGTGTTCATAATGTTAGTTCATAATGTTCATAGTGTTCGGAGTATAAAGTCAAATATTTCAACGCAGGCATTCAGTCAAATATAATTAGCTTATGCATGTTACGGAGCCAATAACACAGGCCATTTGATGATAAAATGGTGAAACAATTTTGTATTTTATTTTGATACATTTGATGATCAAGTATTTGTAATTTGTAGCAAAATATTTTTGGATGTATTTGTGGTTATTTCTGACTCTGAGGAGGGGTATATCAATCTGGAGGGAAATTGGTCAGCGCAGGGAATGCTGAGTTTTCTTAGTTTTTATACCAATCTGGTTTGATCGACAAAACAGCTGTTAGAGGGCTTTTATTTTGATATTATACATTAGACAGTCACAGTACTGACATTGTGCGAGTGACAATATTATTATCTGAGTCGGATCCGAACCTTCATGTTATCAGACGTTATTTTTTAGCATTTGTATTATTTCATATTTATTTACTTTTTATGTCATTGTTTGTGTATTTCTATTCCTTATTGACATTCTGACTCAACGCGCCAAATTGTAGGCGTATTCTTTATAGGCTAACGTTAATGGTTTTCCAAGGCAAAACATTTATCATGATCACGGGAGACACGAGCAACGGAAGTTAAAGTAAGATCAGTCGGAATCAGAGCTCGTCTCGATGTAATAGAAAAGCTCAACAAGACGTCGTCGGTGAGAGAAAGTCAGTAAACTGAATTATTGTTGGACTCAACCTTCATCGTATAACGTGACAGAATAATACATTAACGTTATATGCTTTGGGTTAGTTAGTTAGTTAGGGCCGTGCAGAAACTTGTGGTTGATGCTCTACAGTTTAGTGACGCAAAATATATAGGCTATGTATTATTACTACAAGTAGCCTTATCTACATTCCTCTCATAGACTTATTGTGCTGACAGGTCATTCTCTCTTAAAGTTTTTAAATCAAAACAATAACCTTGAATTTCTGCGGCTCTGACGCACTGCTGCTGCCGGACGTCATCGGAATGCATTCTATTCGACACGTCACAGTACTAGACGCTGCAAACCTCTACTGAAACTCGTGACTTGTTGTCTTCAGTCTACAGCTGTTGATTAGAGTGCAGTTTCATAGTCTGTTAGTGTGCAGTTTTATAGTCTACAGCTATTGATTAGTGTGCAATTTTATATCTGTTTGGGTCTGTTTTTGAACAGTTGAATTGCACAATACAGCTGTGTACGGTTTCAGATCATAAAATTTGACCTGTCGGATTTTGGATCAACGTACTATTTTCCATCATGACTAGCAAAACATTTCGCACGCTCAGGCCCCTGGAACGTAAGAGTGGTTCGGACATGCCTACACTGCAACCTCTACCACCATGTAAACTGCGGCCTCAACCACCGTCTAAACTGCGACCTCAACCACCGTCTGCAGTGCGACCTCAGCCACTTCCTAGACTGAGACAACGACCAGCGCCTCAACAACACCCAGAAGAAATTGAGATGAAGAGGGTAAGTAAGAAGTCTATCATAGGATTCACTGTGTTTTTTCAACCATCATCGGTCATTATTAACACTAAGCTTGCGTTCATATGTTGAGCATTGTATTAAGGTGTTTTCTTATTCTTATGTATCATCAACAGGAGATCACTCGCAGTTTCCGTAACACAATTGTGCTGAGAGAAAGGTCCCGGATGTCCAGCCGAGGGCAGTGTGTCAAGCTCCCTCCTATCCCCGGCTCTTCCCGAGATGACAGCTCAAACCTCAGCCAGAGCTTTGAGAGAGCCCAAAAAGACCAAGACAACCTCATTAAGGTGACTACATATAACATATATATATATACTTGACTCTCAGTTTTACTTCTATAACTTTCATTACAGAGCCTTGGAGTAACAAATGTGTGTGTGTTTTACAGAGCATGGTGGATGAGCTGTCGAAGATGGAGCGGCGGTCAGAGCTGTCACGCACTTCTCATCAGCAGAGCATGGACAGTCTGTTAAAGCGTCATGTGCTTCGGCTGGAAAAACAAGCACTCGACTTCAACAACAAACTCGAAGAACTTCGCTCAGAGTATGATGCTGAAAGGTAACACACACAAACAATCACACAAAAGTAGTGTTTTGTTTTCAAGGGCTGGCCAGTTTACCAGTTCCTGACCATTTAAATTGGGTCATTCTTTTTAGGATATACCTTTTAACTTTAGAAAATGCTGAATAGACAATGATGTTTACACTGTTTTCCCACCAAAAGTGATGTCATGAACAGGATTACACACAAAAAACAGTATTATATTCTATACAAAATACCTAAATGGGGACATGAAAATGCACTGCGAAGGATTGAGCCAATGTAGTAACATCTGTGTGTTATTTCTTTTCATTTCCAGGGAGCCGATTCATTCACAGAGCGAGCGGGAGAGTGCGTATTTGAAGGATGTAACGTTTTTCATGGAAAAGCACAACGCTAAGATTTACCCTGAGGCGAGACGTGACTACGAGAACAGTTGCAAACAAATCAGAAAAAAGGTACTGGTTTTATTATGTTTATATTTATTCATTTGGCAGATGCTGTTATCCAAAATGACTTAGTAATGAGGAACATCACTAGCAATTTGTCATAGTGCCATATTTATGGGTTTAGTAAAAACTAGAATTAGTCAACAAGCTAGAGCAAAGGAAAAATACAAAAAAAGAAGAAAAAGAGAATAGAGTTCAAGTAAATGTCTTGGTTTGCAAAATCATAATTATTGGATTAACCTAAAATATGCAGTGCAATTCAAATATAAATAAATCATGGATTACAAAAATACTGATTACACAAATATACAAATGTATGTAGGAGTTTACAAGTGTACACTAGTAGTACTTATCAAAAGTTTGGAAGAATAAAGATTTATTTCTCTTTAAAGTCTTTAATGATCACCAATGGAGTTGAGCTAAGGGAGCACAATGACCAAGTCGGCCAGACAGAGTTTAGAGTTTTGGAAATGTGACTACAGATTGGACAAAAGGATGTTAGCAGTTGGGGAAATAAAACATAATCATAAATCAAAAACATAATCTTAATAATATGTTGTCTGTTTTATTTCTGCAGCACAAAGGGGAATATGAAACAGTGGAAACACAGATGAAAGAGGTCATTGAAGAACTGAGGGAATACAAGCCGACGAGATCTCAATTCTGGAAGTTTAATGATGTTTCATACGAAAAAAAGAAAGAAGAATATGACTCTCTGCTTCTCGAGTTTAAAGAGGTGGAGGTAGATAAACAGTGCATTCAGGAATTGGAGGTTAGGCAAAAATTCATTTGTTTCTGTCTAATTTGGACAATCATTTTTCTTCCAATTGTGATATTTCATTATTTTGCCGATTTTAATGCAATTTAAACTTTTGCAGGAGTCCATCTCAGATCTGGAATGTGAGCTGATGTCTGGTGAATGCCAAGAAACAGTTCAACTTCGTTCAGACTGTGTCAAGCGCGTCCAGGATATTCAACGCTTCAGAGACCAGATCAAGGAGATCCAAACCACTCGGACAAATCTGGCCACTAAACCTGTCATTCAGTTCAAAAATATTACTGAAAAACTACAGGAGACAACAGCTATGGTAAGTTGATTACACCCACATTTAATATATACACTCATATTTTATTGAATTTTTTTACAATTTTCCAAAGTGCTTTATGCCTTCAAGTAATAGTTATGTTTTGTTGATCCTGCAACAACATTTCTGTCCAAAAACCTCTAAATCTAAACCTAACCCTAACCATAACTTCTCAAATCAGAGGGAAATGACGGGTAAATAGGAATGGTGTCCCAGACAGCAACTGCCCAGATCCGGGCCACATCTGATACTTGTGGGTTTAACTCGTACCAGATTTGGGCCAGGTCTGGGCCGACGACACTGTGTTGCTGTCTGCGGTAGAAACCCCTAATCATTGTTATAACAGGGACAACAGGGATGCATTTTGTATATTTATTGGAAGTAGAGATTATGTCATTCCGGAACTAAGTGAATTAATTTTAGCAATACTCTCAATATCCAGTCACTCACCCATTCTGTCTCTTCCATAGGGGGAAAGGTTATTGCGTTACTCTAAGCTGTGCAGTAAGATGGAGACGAAGTACGAGAAGGTTCTGCCCTTCTACAAGTCATCGTTGAGTGAAGAAGAGCTGAGTCAGGTGAAAGCCAATGCCATGAAGTCGGCGGATGAGGAACTCACTCAGGTTTGTTAAAATTCAGATATTTCATGCAGTTTCATTACTTTGATTTGATGTTTCCTAGCATTTCTTTTGCACTATTCTAGTCATCTGTTAAATTCAATATATAATGTGTGTTGTCTTTTGACTTATCTCTCCTTGTCCTATTCTCTCCCCACAGCTAACACATGACAATGCTTCTTTTGAGAAGTTTTGGCAGCGTCACAACAAGGTGAAGCTCGACAGTTTGTGTCTGAAGCGAGAGAAAGAGCTTCAGTTACAGGAGAACCAACGACTGAGGAGCTGTCTGGAGCAGTACCTGGGTGAAGGTTTCGATCTCTGATGAGAGTTTTCAACAACAAAAGCTTCCAGTTGTGTCTTCTTCAACTCTACATACCCCCGCTGCCACTAAGAGACGCGATCAAAAGCGTGATGTGGTCCAAAAATCAGCGAATATTGTACCGTAATGGATGGCTGGAGTCAAGCAAAGAAGGACCCAAAAGCAAACTTTAATATAACTTAATCAAAACTCAACACACAAAACAACAACAACACAGAAAAAACAGTCGGTCTGTCCCCGAGCCAATGTGTGTGTCTGTCCCCGAGCCAGTGTGTGTGTCTGCCCCCGAGCCAGTGTGTGTGTCTGCCACCGAGCCAGTGTGTGTGTCTGCCCCGAGCCAGTGTGTGTGTCTACCCCCGAGCCAGTGTGTGTGTCTGCCGCTGAACCAGTGTGTTCGGGGGCAGACACACACACTGGTTCGGGCGCAGACACATACACTGGCTCGGGGGACGACACACACACTGGCTCGGGGGCTGACACACACACTGGTTCGGGGGCAGACACACACACTGGTTCGGGGCAAACACACACACTGGTTCGGGGCAAACACACACTAGTTCGGCGGCAGACACACACACTGGTTCGGGGGCAGACACACACACTGGTTCGGGGGCAGACACACACACTGGTTCGGGGGCAGACACACACACTAGTTCGGGGCAAACACACACACTGGTTCGGGGGCAGACACACACACTGGTTCGGGGCAAACACACACACTAGCTCGGGGGCAGACACACACACTGGTTCGGGGGCAGACACACACACTGGTTCGGGGGCAGACACACACACTAGTTCGGGGCAAACACACACACTGGCTCGGGGGCAGACACACACACTAGCTCGGGGGCAGACACACACACTAGCTCGGGGGCAGACACACACACTAGCTCGGGGGCAGACACGCACACTAGCTCGGGGGCAGACACACACACTAGCTCGGGGGCAGACACGCACACTAGCTCGGGGGCAGACACACACACTAGCTCGGGGGCAGACACGCACACTAGCTCGGGGGCAGACACACACACTGGTTCGGGGGCAGACACACACACTAGCTCGGGGGCAGACACGCACACTAGCTCGGGGGCAGACACACACACTGGCTCGGGGGCAGACACACACACTGGCTCGGGGGCAGACACACACACTGGCTCGGGGGCAGACACACACACTGGCTCGGGGGCAGACACACACACTGGCTCGGGGGCAGACTACTGTAACATGTTTTTTTTCTGTAACAAGTGCCATTTTCGTGGCCGCAACATGTATATACATATAGAGAAATTCATATTTTTGAATAAAAATCTTAAAAAGAATAAAAAAAAAAAAAAGAAACGGAGACATTGTGGCTTGATTTATTTTATAAATTTTTCATGACTAAAATAACATTATGCAATGTGAAGAGACTACAGGTTACAAGCTTCATATTTTAGAATATGCATATCGACTGTCACTAAGAAGCAATGGTAAAACGTGAGGAGATGCTAGATTTTTATATATCCACAAGTTTCCTACGCCCCATGAGGCCTTGCGTCAAAAGTGGGCGCGACTTCCGGTTGGAAGTAAACAAAGCGCGATTTGACATGCTTGACACTCGTTCATTCAACAGTTGACAGTCATTCAAGTTATAGCGATCCAAACTAGCTAACGATGTGGGAACACAACCTCAACGAAATTCAAAAGGGTGAAATAACAGTACCTTTACCCTCCGCAGTAGTTGATTGGGAGTATTATAATAACATTAATAATCAATACTCATCAAGACAAGGCATGGTGACAGACAGTTGTGCGAGCTGACAAACAATTAAAATAAAAAAATACACTTAGTCATTGTGCTTTGGAGTTTATTCAAAATTATAAATGAATGTGCTACTTGAATACATTACTGGCACATTTGGTATTCTGTCAACACAGGCTTTGATCCTGAGTTTAGGTGTAACATCAGTAGCGAACAGTATCACATGCTGATAGAGTTTATAGAATATTAAGAATTTAAACAAATGTACACAGGAAGATTCGTCGTCTTTTGGGAGGTGATGGAAACTACAGTTGTTGGCAGGATCAGAGACGGGCTCTGCAGGATCACTCAGATTTCGTTTTCAGCTTATGTTCAAAACAATCACGTTTAGTTTAGTCCGGTTATACATACAACCGCGAACAGCACATGTTGTCCCTGAGCTCCGTAACGACATCTCTCATAAAGATTTGCGTCTTTAAATAGTAAAATAATTCTCCGAAAAACAGCTAGCCTCTTCGCTAACTAACACACAAAATAACATTGGAATGCTACTTCCGCCGTGTCACCGGAAGTTTCACCCACTTTATTTTTTACAGGAGCGCCCCTCGGAAACTTGTGGATAACTGGCAAAGTAAAAGTCTTATGAAATACACTGACACTTTATTATTGTCCTTTCAAAAGTAACTGAATGTCCTGCTACATATATTAGCCTACAGTAATCGTAATTCTATTTAAAACATATTAATGTAGGCTACATGTATAATTATAATGTCATTATAAAATATATAGTGGTTTATATAAACACTATAAATACATTTCAGAAAAAAATTATTAATTTTCCGCTTAAAAAAATCATTCCGTGCTTCAGCAAATGGCCTAGCTATAAAGCGTGCATGGCAAAGAGACTGTGAACAACAGGAGGATGTCACCGACTGGGGAAGAGTATGGCAGAACATTTTCACTTCATCTAGGAATCCCAATCACCAAATGATTCACTATAACTTCTGTCACAGAACTTATTGGACCCCACTGAAAAGACATCGTATTGACTCCTCCTTCAATCCTTTTTGCGATAAATGTCCTGACCAACAACTTGGTTCCTTTTTCCATATGATGTGGGAATGTGAAAAGGTTAAACAATTTTTGGTCTGAGGTATGTGGTATCTTATCGAAAATCATTGAATATCCGATTCCGGTGATACCCTCTGTATTATTGCTGAATGATGACTCTGAGTTTGACTTCTCTAAGCAGCAAAAAATTGTCTACCTGGCCGGCTTAACGTCTGCAAAAAAACTCTTAGCTCAACACTGGCTCCCACCACATACCTTGGATATATTCAAGTGGTTGTTTCAACTTTAGGACATTATAATGTTAGAAATATCCACAGCTCGGGTGAACTTGGCTCAAATCTCAACACTAAAAATTTGCACAACAGCCGCTGATAAGGTCTCCAAGTATATTGCGCAAAGCAATGTTCAGGACTCAGTTTGAACACTTTATCCCATTTCTCTTATTTTTTTTTTTTTTAAATGTTTTATATTTCCTGTGACTGTTTTTTTGTTGACTTATCTGTCCATTTTGTACCCCATTATAAAGAGACCGCGGGGTGGGTGGGAGGGATTGGTAGATAGGTTGTTGTTTGTTCTGTTTCTTTTTGGTGTGTTTATTGTCAAAATTTAAAATCTAATAAAAAAATTAATTTAAAAATATAGCTGCGAGCAGCGATGGCGGGCCCAAGCCGGTGGCACCGCAACCCCGGTTCCTTTAGTTACCTAAAGGCACCCGGGTGGCGGTGCCGAAGGCTTTGGCCCTTTCATGATTAAATGTTAAAACGGCTTGCCATACTCTGTCATTTCGACTAGTCAAAATTATGTTACAGATATCTTAAATGATAATACAAACTATCCAAAATGTAATTACGACTAGACAGAAAGACGTTGTTGATATCTACAATGTTAATTCCGGATAGGCAAACTTAGCTTTTAAATGTTAAAAGGGCTTGCCATACAGGGACGTAGGCTCAGAGAGAGGCTCACCATATTCAAACCAAAATATCTGACTTCCTCTTGGTCCGAGCTAATGACTATGTAATAGAAAGTTGTCCGGCTTGAGGAGTACAATGTATATACCGATTTTTGTAACTGTAGATAAAACTAACAACCCCACTTTTGTCAAAAGGTGGCGCTATTTAGTCCTTGCACCATGCCCGTTTCTGAAACTTTGCACGTCTACTGGCTAATAAATGTGATGTATCTGTTGAGTTTCAAGCAATTTCAATTTCAATTTGACTGTTGAAAAGAAGTGCGCCGATTAGATACTCAGGATCGGTATCGGCTCTGACACTGCCATCTTTGACGAGGCTGATTCAAATTCTATATTGTGCATATACTATTCTATGTAAGGCACAAAGGCACAAAAACTTTCTAAAGTACCATAAAGTTTTTGTGTACTGTATTATAAGTGTTCTGAAGCTATTATGTGATATAGAAATTAATATTTAAGTCATTAAATTCAAGAACACGTAAACTTTTCCCTCTCTGCGCCTGTCAGTCATTCTCCATTCAGCATTCAAACAGCACGTCGCATTCGGTTACAGTCAATGATGAAACGATCTTCAAGATGATTCAATGTTAATCCTATTATACTGGGTCTTTAAGATAAAGGTCTAAAGGTCTATATTTTCGAATGAAGAAACTTTTTCTTGCTAGACTTTATTGCTGTAACTTAATCGTGTTACTTTCTACCGGGTGTCAGACGCTGTCGGTTAGATCACAACACTAGAGTCAGAGCACTATAATTGTTCTTCACGCACACAGTAACTGAAATTTAAAACCTTTAAAAGAAAAGGCTCAATAAACTATTGCATAGATAGATAATGTATAATACACTGTTCATAAATATGTATTTCCTTTGTGCTTTGAACTTTTCAATACCGACTCAATGCGCTGTAACTTCATGTGGCTTCAAGCACATCATTCTCCGCTCGGGATGCACATAAGTGCTTTGTGCTGCACCGTATTAGAGCCGTAATATCATAATGCAGTGACGTAATGACAGATTATTAATTGCCTTTCAATTATATGTTGCTGCGTCATTAAACATCTGTCCTATGCATTTCAAACATTTATAGCAGCCATGGCTTTATCTTTTTATGATTTTTGTTATCTTGTTTTTCATGAATGTATTTTTAAAAAATAAGAGCAATGTGTATTATCTATTATTAATATAGTTTATAATAGCATTTTTGTCATAGATTATGACAAAGTAATCATATGATCCACCAGCGAGGAACCAGCAGAACAGAGTGAACATTCTTTCTGTTTAGTTCAATCCTACTTAATAGGAATTTATTTAAAATGCTCGCTCTACTCCACACCATTAATGTCTTGTGCGGACATCCGTATTTTGACTTTCGGTTTTAAGTAAGCGATTTAAAAGCTCCCAAGTCCCAGCAGAGTCACACGTTGATTAACCGGTGGGATATATACACAATAGGCCTACCTGATAT